GAGTTTTTAACCTTTAAAAAAGATCTCCACTTCTTTTTAGAATATATTGTTCCTTACAGAAAGACTCATTGTTTTTGCTACTAACGCTGAGATGTTGGCACATGCGTCTCTAATCTGTATGTATTTGATTATTACTAGTCATAATTGGTTGCACTTGGATCCTTGGTGCCTGTGTATGTCTATAAAGTCATCAGGCAGATTTCAATGGTATTGTTTGTCACCTCTACTAATTAGCATGACATAAATTTCCATGTCTGAAGCATATTTTTACAGAACTGTACTCCTAAGTGACTGGATTTTAAAATGGATTTTATATTTTATAATACTCTAAGAGCTGATCATTACATTCTGGGGATATTAAGGAATTTTTAGATATTCTTATTTTCATACTGCGTAATTAAAGTTACCCCCCCCCTCCGCCCCACCACACACACACACAGAAAAAAAGCAAACCAGACAGAGGGAATATACAAAATGGTACTTTCAGAGAAAAACACTAACTGCCAACTGCGATGCGTGACTACACTGGAACTGCTGTGAAGAGGAGCTGTGGGGAGCAGTGTTCTCCATGTAGCCACATTCTCCTTTCCCAGGTCAATCAGCAGTGACACAGACCCCGAAAGGGAAATCGGCCAAAGACCTGGAAGAGTACCACTTTCCTGGCCTTCTGCAGGGCTAATAAACAGCAGAAGTTCTTGCCTATTCTGCCTCTAAAAACTGGTGAACAAAACTAGTTACTGATTTTTTATTTTTTTTATGTTGTAGCATGTATCTGTGTGCATGTGTATGTGGAGACCAGAGTTTGATGTCAGGGATCTTCCTCAATTGCTCTCCACCATTGTTTTAGACAAGAGTTTCTTACTGAACCTGGAGCTCACCAATTTGGTTAGACCTGGGTCCTCTTATTGCAGCCTCCCCAGTGCTCGAATTACAGGTGTACACTGCCTCACCCAACCTTTTAAAAAATGGGGTGCTGGGGAATGAACTCAGCTTGTACAGGAAACACTTTACTGACTGAGCCATCTCCTCCAACCCTAGTTACTGTTGTTAAAAGAATACAATTGAATTTTCATTCATTTTTCTATAAAGCTCCAAAAATCAAGCTTCCCCAGAATGCATGTTGCTTATCACACCACACACGTTAGAGGTGGGTTACATGTTTTCCACTTGAGTCAGGGGTGCTGGTATGACATAGAAGAGAAAGAAAATATTGTAAAGTGAAGCTACTTACTCTGGCTCGCTCCAGGCTTTTTATCTGTTCATGGAATGCAGCTGGACTCTTCAAAGCTGTGAGGGGGAAAGTAAATTGTTTCCACAGCATAAATAGGATTTCAGATCTCAGTTTGCCATGTTGCTGACCCTAGCAGCGCACATCTATGGTGTATCTATTCACTAACTCCTTTAAAAGACCCGTAAAATTTGAAACCCCTAAATGTTACACAAGTAAAATTAGGTACTTCATAAATAAATCAAGTGGGCATTTCAGAGTTGTTATATATAATGACTATGTAAATGCCAGGTTAGAGCACTGTAAATTTCCATGGCCCAGGGACCAGTCTGATGAGTCTCTCACAGGTTTTAGCTCTTAGTGGCCATATAAGTTACTAGAAAAAGCTCACATGGCTGTGGAGATGATCTAAGTTTTGACACTGGGACACCCTGCACTCTGTGTCTACAGATTTGATGCACCATTTATTCACAACTCACAATACACTTGGCCCTGTAGTCAACCAGTTAGACTGTTATCTGTCTTCCTAATAAACTTGTGAGGTAGGTATGAGCCCTGGCATACAGTCATTGAGGTCATACAGCTAGAGGGGGTCAAAATGGGATTTAACTCTAGGATTCTGAATGTAAAAGGTTCGTGTTCCTTTTGATACCACAATGCAAAACACGAAATATCCAGTGACCCTTTATATAATGCCAGAGTACTAGCCTAGAATCTCAGAATGAGGCTGAGTGGCACTTACAAAAACACTTCAGTCCATCATCTCTGAAAAATCTGATTTGTGTATGCCTACTATTGCCTGGTATCAGCCTACAGGTAACAACAGTGAGCGGATGAAACACAGGACTAGGTTTCCCTGTGCTGTCTGTCTAAAACATGGTCTTTAGGCCTGGTCCTTGAAGACTGTAGAGGCTCTCAGGAGCCCAGCCTGGTCAGTCTGGCTGGGGACCAGCTCCCTGAAGCAGATCAGGGCTGACCTAGCAGTGGTGTCTTGAGCACCATTATCTGATGCTGCTTGACTGATTGGCTTGGAGGAGGAATGTGGTAGTGGAGAAACCTGGCAGATTATCAAAGCAGCTTTGGACTATCACAATGCTGGATTTAAGATATTTAGATGATGGATAGTATGTCCAGGAATAAGTTTCACGGAGGGGAAAAAATCTGTTAAGAAAAAATAATTCTTGATCATTAACTGATAATTTGTGGGCTAGCAATGATTTGGAAAACTAGGAGGCATAAATTTGTAATTTCTAGTGTTTTAAAGTGGAATAAATGAACTCTTGGAAAAGTGAATTTCTAAACAGATAATCCCACAGCCTATGTAAACAACCATTTTCTCCTTTAAAAATATAAAAAACCCAAATCTGGTGGTTAAGGGTAAAGGAAACAGCTTAGACAAATGTTCTAAAATAAATTAACTCTTAAGATTCTCTTGAAGAAATTAACTCTAGGGATACCTAGGAAACAACTATACTTGGCCAGGAAGATTGCAGCACTAAGTGCAAACAAAATGCTTAACAGCAACACACTTTGGGATACAGTTAATTAGGTGACCATAGTATAACACCAAAGATAATTAATTTGAATTAAGTAAATTCAAGTAGATCAAGGTAGTGAATTAATTTTGTCATGTTAGTCTTACAAGTCTTGCACTAGTTACAGTGATTAATCATTTAAAAACTCAAACTAATATTAAAGCTTGAAACAAGAACCTGAGTGTCTTAAAGGCATTCTTTGTATAATGTCACATTCAAGTCTATCTTATGAGCTGCACCTGGATTTTAAAATGTACTCTAATGGTTCTCTTTGGTTGACCAGGCTGACACCGGGCTTTCCTGATAACCCATAAGGAAATGGCAACAACTGAATGGCCATGACTGGAAAGAGGGTGCACAGGTATACCCCTCCTTCCTAGCACACCAGAGATGATGACAACGTGTGGTCTTACGTGGCATGATGCCCTGGTCCACTAGTTGCTCCCTTGTTCTCCTTTGTTGCAGCCTCAGCTGGAGCACTGTGGAAAGGAAAGAAACAAATCACCATTGGAGTTGATCTGCAACCATAGGACCCAACTCACATGGTTCCAAAGGAGAACATCTACTTCATTATCAAACAGGAAGGACATTAGTTGAGAAGCTGAGTCGGCTCACGTCTGTAATACCAACACTCAAGAGACTGAAGCAAGAGGATCATGGCCTCAGGTCTGAGGCCAGCCTGGGCTGCACACTGAATTCCAGGTCATCGTGAACTGCAGAGTGAGACCTTGTCTTAAGAAAAAAAAAATTTACTTAGCACCAATTTGTAAAAAAAAAATTTTGTGTGTGATTTTTGCCTGTTAGTGGTAATTTGTTACTAAAACTAGGTATTTCTTATTTAAATACATTCACATATTACTCAATTAAATATAGTTGGCTTACACGTTATGACTTGTTAATAAGGAAGTCAGAGAAACAAATGTGAGATTCCTTGACATTTTCAGTTTCTTTTAAAATAAGTTAATATAAAAACTTATTTTAGGGAAAGACTGGCTTGTTTGGAAGGACTTTCTTTATCAGCAATGAA